GGGCACAAGTATGTAGCGAATTATGTGCCAAAATTAAACAAACAAATCCAGCATTTTGCAAACAAACTCGATCTGCTTTGCAAAAGAAAACTCGACTCGCAAACAAACAGAAAGTAATTTGCAAAAACAAAAGTCAATTTGAGCGAAAATGCTGAGTAACCAATATTGTGTTTTACAAATATAAATAAACGATCCTTGATAATATTTCACAAATAAATACAAACCGTCCTACAAATTGCATGCAATCTTTGAAAAAAATACCAAATCTAGTGCATATCTGTCTGTTATGATTGTGAGATCTCTCAACTCGATTTTCTCACAAATGTGTCTGGGCAAATTTTCTCACAAATGCGTCCAGCCAGATTTTCTTACAAATGTAGATGAGTAACTTCCTCTTATAAAACAGTAGATGGCGCAAAAATATGGGATTCACTTAGTGCTAGTCTCCCGGGAGAAGCACTGATTTGAAACGCGATGTGATGTGTTTCAAATGTGATGTGACATTTGAACCGAGGCATCGGAGATTGTGTCAAGAAAAAATGGGCGTGCCAGATGAAGCCACGATTCAAGGTTTGTGTTGTTAACGTGAAAATCTCGTGACTAATGACCAACGAGGCCTTGGTTTGTGTGAAAACGTCATCAGTTCAGTCTGAGTGGATAAAGGGGGTTCGAAACCTATGTTCGAAACTCGCGCCCCCTTTTGGGTTTTGCGGGAGTAGTAAAAGCAGGTGTAGTAGTGTCAGAGGGTTTGAAAAATGTGTTAGGGCTATATTATTACATTATGTTAGGCAGTGGTGGAATGTAACGAAGTACAAATACTTCGTTACTTTACTTAAGTACATTTTTCACGTATCTTTACTTTACTTAAGTACAATAAATAGTGCATACTTTTTACTTTTACTTCGTTACATTTTGCAGCAATTATTCTACTTTCTACTCCACTACATTTCTACAACTTCTGTTACATTTTCGTTACATTTTCTGATCAGTTTTTCCCCTGACAAAACGTAATCTGACCGTCCGTTCGTTGCACGTTTGTCTCACCAGTGACGTTTGGTTGCCATAGATACATCAACTAAATGCGTCTCACACGCAGTGTGTTTATCATGCAACTCATACGCGAAAATTTGTTTTTACGTGCATAGGAAACACACCCTGTCTAATATGGTTAGGATTATGGCAAGCCAAGAGGTTCAGAATTACACCATAAATAAATCGCGTCTACTGCCAAACATAGTTATTAACATATAGTAAGGATAAGCATGATATTGCCTAATTGCAAGCTTGTTTCAGAAATGGTGACATTTTTTTTTTCCATCATTATTGAACATCATTATAGGAGTAGGCTATTAGGTTGAATGAGTTAGAATTAAATGTTTTATTAATCATTAGAAAATAGACATTAAGATAATAAATTGTTATGCAAGTACTTTTACCTTTAATACTTAAAGTACATTTAAAATAAAGTACTTTTTACTTAAGTATGATTGTCATTGTGTTACTTCTACTTTTACTAAAGTAAATATTTATCTGGGTATTTGTACTTTTACTTAAGTACTGAGATTCAGTACTTCCTCCACCACTGATGTTAGGTAAGAATACTTATATTGTTATTAATAAATATAGAAGCTATATTATAGTCTTGTTATATTAATTTGATCAGAATATTTGGATTGCTTTGGATTTTTAGAACTGGACTGCTTTTTGTTTTGGATTGCCCTTTTGGATTTGTTATACAGTCATCATAATTCTGCTCAGGTCATTGGTTCAGAATTAATTAATTTGTCTGTTACTTTCTGTCACTAGTGAGCAATACTGAATGAAGATTCAAGTAATGAAACTTTTGGTGAAGCAATAGACCTTATTCAGAGCAGTTATTGGTATGACCGGTATGAAAGTAAGGCTGTGAGGGATAGACTTCCCGTGTTTCCAATGGCATCCGCTGTAAAAAGCTGAATAAAGCTCCTAGATTACTTACAATTTTCCACAGCTTACATTGTCAGGAGTTTTTTGTCAACTGAAATTTCTCGGAAAGATATTTTTCCAGTGTTTCATGAGCAGAACAATCCGAAAACACATTAAATAACAGCACAGCCCATTGAAGAGATGCATGTCTATCCCACACAGCCTCGCTTTCATTTTCATTAAAAATCAAAGATGGCGCTGCCGTGAATAAGGCGTATGGGCTGCTAGGTCTCAGTGGTTCAGGAATGAGTGCTAGCGCTTGCCTTTGCCTACAGCTGAAGGAAAAGTTTGTGTCTTACTTTATCTATAATAAACACCTTGAGCTAAATGTTTATTACATATCTAGACAGAAATCAACACTTGTGACACACGTGAGAGTAGCCTGGGCACGATCATATCTGGACAGAACGTACATCTCACTTAAACTGACAGAAGTTTTGCTTGCAGAGCGGGAACTTCTAGGTTATAAAACCCACCACACATATGTCGTGAATAGAAATTGCGCTGGACTAGGCCCACGATGAGGCCATGCCTCTAGTGGAATGAGCCCTGGGGCTGCCCAAGGGGCAGTGGAATGCAAGTGGAATGCCCAAGGGGCATTGCAGACCTTTCGATGCTTAAGCGGCAACTATAGCGTCCACAATCCATCTGGACAGGCTTTTTTCGAGGCGGCGAGACCCTTGGTAAGCCCACCAAACGAAACGAAAAGCTGCTCCGAAAGCCTGTAAGGGGTGGAGCACGTTGTACAAACCCTCAGCACCCTGGCAGAGGATATTAACATTGCTCTTACTATCGGATGATGGTAGAGCCGATAGAGAAATGACTTGCACTCTGAAAGGAGTGCTAATAACTTTAGGGACATGTCTAGGTTTGAGGATGACTTTCGAATCATTTGGCCCGAACTCAAGACACGCAGCGCTGACTGACAGCACATGTAAGTCCCCCACATGTTTAACTGATGACAGACTTGTCAGAATAACTGTTTTGAGTGACAGGTACTCCACGGAATCTTGTGGTTCAAAGGGAAAACATTTCAGGGGGCGCGGAGGGTTCATTCTTCTGGCTCCTCTAAGGAAGCGAATGACAAGATTGTTTTTCCCTAGTGACCGGCCACACATCGACTCTGCGAACGCTGCAACGGTCGCCATGTAGACTTTAAGTGTGGATGGGGACTTTCCCTTATCCAACAGCTCTTGTAGGAAAACTGAGCAGCCGCGAGGCCCCACATGTCTGTGGGTCCACATTTTTGTCGGTGCACCATTTGGAGAACACAGACCATTTAGACACATAAAGCTTTCTAGGAGCTCTAGACTGCGTAATTGTGTTCATCACTCCTTCTGGCAGGGCAACGGGGACCCGTTGATCAACCATGCGTGCAGAGACCAGCGCTCTGGATGGGGATGCCAGGTCGAGCTGCGAGGTTGAGAGAGGAGATCTGTTCTCACCGGAATCGGCCACGGGATTGTTTGTGACAGCCGCGTCAGCTCCGGGAACCAAGTCTGATTCTTCCAACGCGGGGCTATAAGGAGCACCGAGTGGTGAATTTCCCTGATTTGGGGAAATTAGGGTTACCTGTGGTGACAGAGAGACCGGAGGGAAGGCATACAGCGGGCCAGCGCATCGTTGTTGTTTGAAAAGAACATCAGGCATAATGAAGAAACATAATGAAGTGGTCAAAATCATGCCAGAACCACTCCATCCATGTCCTCCGATATTGCACATCCTCCTATCTAGCTTCTCTGTTCACTTTCATAATCAACATGGGAAAAAAACAACATTAATATATTTGAATAAAAATGAAAGTAAATGAGCTTATTTAATTTGTACAGATTTCTAAACATTTATTTAATTCAGAATTTTGCACACATGAAAGGTATTTATTGCATTTATTGCGTGCATTTATTATTTATTATCTTTATGAATAATGTAACAAGGAAGAAGTATGTAAACTATGTTGTTTATTTATTCAGAACCAAATGGATCGCAAATGGATCTGAATGAATGACCCTATTTTTGCTGTCAAAGGCGAGCAGCGTGATGCATTTGCACTTCACAAAGCCAACACATTTGTTGTCAGTGCCCACGACTAGTTTAAAATATTTCCATATGTCCAACTTTCCTTCATACTTGCTCAAAGTTAATTCTCCTCTTTAATTTTTTTTCTTTACTTCAAGCTCCATGTTGCACTTAAGATACACAATACAGCAGCGTGCAAGTGGAGGAGATGCTGTGCGTGACACATGACGTGCTTAATCAAGGGCCCGACCTGAGCATAGTGGCGGGATCGGGCTCGGGCTTGGGCAGAGAATCAAAGCTCTACCTCAAGGTGTTTATTATAAATAAAGTAAGACATAAACTTTTTCCTCAGCTGTAGGCAAAGGCAAGTACATTTCAAATCAGTGCTTCTCCTAGCGTTAAGTGACTAGCCTTAAATGAATCCTCTATTTTAGCGCCATCTACTGCTTTAGAAGAGGACGAATTTGTGGACGCATTTGTGAGAAAATTGAGCCGAGAGATCTCACAATCATAACAGACAGATGTCATAACAGACATAATGCGGTCCAATCAAGGGGGAATTTGCATATCATAATTAATAATTGATAATTAATAATTATTCATACAGATTAGGATCAGACCAGACTTACATGTTAATAAATCTCCCATTGAGGAAAGCTTTGTCAATTTTACCTGTGTGCATGTGTGACCAGTGCTATGGATTAAAGTTTCTTGACTACGCCACCTGGTGCCTCTCACACCAGGATATACTCAGTACCTTAGCTGCTACAAACCTAATCTAAGGCAAGCAGGTTCGTAGAAATACACTAAGGAAGAAATAAACAGAGACGTGCTTTCAGTAGAAAAAAAAGAACAATAATTTTATTATACAATGTTATGACTTAAAGAGACACACCGTCATACTAGAGACACAGCACTAGCACAAAAGACTAGACCTGGCATTGGCTGTTAAATGAGGCAATGTGATAAGCAATTTAATCAGAAAAAACTGATCCTGAAGAAAAAAAAAACTGAAGGCAGATTACCTGTCCGGGACACGCGTGATGCTCACCGCCCGTGCTCTGGAATCTGGTGCCCACGATCACATGCATTCACACACACACACACACACACACACACACACACACACACACACACACACACACACACACACACACACACACACACACACACACACACACACACACACAGGCACAACCACTACAAGCCAATGATCAAATCAATATTGTGAAGTGCAATTTACCACTACAATACGTGAGGACGGAACCAGGAACCTCTCTCGTGAGCAGTTATTCTAAAACTCTGGAAAAGAAGAAATAAAAGAATGAATAAGTTATCACTAGCAGAGTACATAGAGAATGTAAAACTATCACTATCAAAACAGCCAATACCACATCAGTCGGACAGTTCGTTAGACGGAGGCTACGAAAGAAACACAAAAAAAAAAAAAAAAAAAGATCTAACGTAATTTAGGCAAGGCAAAGCAGCAGGAGCAATCTGCCTGCAGACACAAAATCATTAAAATTAATGCTCAATTCACACATGCACAAATAGTCATGTAACATTGCAAACAATATAATTTTCTTTTACCTCAACGTTGACAAATTAATTGACACAGTGGGAAAACAGCCCTTTGCGCCAATCTTCACAATCCTACAGGACAGTTGTTACACACAGCATATTCATTAAATACATTTATATTAAAACTTAACAAGAAAACACAGCCACGAATTATATGTCAGGGTAACACAATCAGACTCATTTTAAAAGCTTTTCACACTAGATCTTCTTGCAACGCAATAAATTATACCTTCTTGATGTTGTGCTTAAATGCGGTACAGCTACCCAGCAGGTGCTTTGCCCAAGACCTGTGCGCAAATGTGCTCATTAAAATACGTCCTAACAATGACACTCACATTATGATTAACAGTAAAATGTACAAATACCTTCCGTAATACACAGCACGATTACCCGGAAGCGTCTGGCAATCAGTAAAACACCTATTGTCCAATAGCCCAGTTTTAGATACAATGAATAGCAAGTTTACTACAACATATAAACATTTAACATACCTTCGTTGCACAGGAGAACCACATACCAAAGTAACAGACAGAAAAATGTATCCAAACACCAGCGAATTCCTAAGCACAACAGTGCAGACTGTTTTATAGGAAGTGGCTTAGACGCAAATGATTTGTTTAGCCACTCACAGCTAGCTGTGTGACGTCAGGGGGCTACCGTAGCTGCAGAGGGACAAACTTCAACCAGACAGTGACTACTCTGGCGGTTACACTCTACTTCTTTTCTGCCGGACTGAGGCTACGACTAGCATAGGCGATTGGCGATCCTTCCTTGCTGCTCCTGCGAGAGCACTGCTCCGAGACCAATGTGACTGGCATCCACCTCTAGAATAAATGGTAAGTTAAAATCAGCAAACGCCAAAGTGGGGGCACTCACCAACCTCTGCTTCAAGGCCTGGAAGCTGTTCTCGCAGACGTCTGTCCACACTCCATCAAGCCGTGGCCCTTGGCCCTTGCGGGTCTTCGTACCACCAAGCTCTGCCCCCAGGCGGTTTAAAGGAGCTGCCAGCTTAGAAAAGCCCTTCACAAATCGCCTGTAATAACCCGCGAAACCAAGGAAAGATCTCAATTCAGACATGGTGGTGGGACGAGGCCACTTAGCCACTGCGGACACCTTGGCTGGGTCAGTGGATACACCTTCACGGGAGACAAGATGGCCCAGATATTGGACTTCTTTCTTGAAAAAACAGCACTTCTCCAGCTTTGCTTTCAGACCTTTTTTCCTTAAACGGCTCAACACTAGATCCAGACGGTTTATATGATCTTCAACACTAGAAGAAAAAACAATTATGTCGTCCAGATAAAGTCAAGTCAAGTCAAGTCACATTTATTTATATAGCGCTTTTCACAATACAGATTGTATCAAAGCAGCTTCACAGTGATAACATGAAAGTAGCACAACACAGATCAACAACATTGCTAAACACTAAATAACCCCAACTGAGCAAGCTCAAAGCAAGCCAAAAGCAAGGCGACAGTGGCAAGGAACCAAACTCCATCAGATTGGATGGAGTAAAAAATCATGGGAGAACCCAGGCTCAGTCGGGGGCCAGTTCTCCTCTGGCTTACATTCATATTGTTTAAATATAAATATTAAATATAAATATTGTTTATGAATCAAACGGCGCCAGTAAAGTAAAAGGGACTGGCAATGCTGCGCTCCAAACATTCTCTCCATCAGTCGTTGAAAAGTGCTTGGGGCGTTACACAGTCCAAAGGCCATACGGTTAAATTCAAATAACCCAAAAGGCGTGCAAAAGGCAGTCTTTGGACAATCTTGTTCGGTCACAGGTACCTGGTTATAACCGCTAGCCAAGTCCAGCGTGGAGAACCACTGAGCCCCTGATAAAGCATCCAAAGACTCCTCGATGTGGGGGAGAGGGAAGGCATCCTTTCTGGTCCTACTTTTGAGCTGTCTGTATACCACACACATACGTAGGCCACCACATTTCTTCCGCACAATCACAATGGAAGGGGCTACTACTTTCTCGACCTGGCAAGTAACTGTCGCAGGTGGGCCTTAACTAGGGCTGCAACGATTCGTCGACGTTGTCGACAAAAATCGATAATAGAAATAGTCGACAATGAATTTCATTGTCGAATTGTCGCCAGACAAGTTTTTTTTTTTCGACCGAGCACACTCACTTCTCTGCTGAGCGATAACATACAGAAATGGCAGTGTCCAACGCAGCAGCTGCACATACCAAAACATCTAAAGTTTGAGAGCATTTTAGCCTGGATACGGTGAATAAAAAGGTTGCCTGTATCATGAAAAGCAGTCCTTGCTATCACGGCAGCACCTCGGTGATGCGCGAACATTTAAAAGGAAAGCACGTCGGACAGTTGAATAAAACGGAGTTTGACTCGGTAAGATTTACTGTATTTTCCGCAATATAAGGCGAATTTAAAAGCCTTCAATCTCTTTAAAAAACGACAATGTGCCTTATAATCCTTATATGTGGAACAATTAGTTAACAACGCCCCGCGTTATTAAATTCGCTCGCGAACTCGCGCTCGTGTCCATCTTATGTCTGCTTTGTCACACGGCCAGTTCAACCTCGTATAAATCAGGTTATGTGTGTCTCCCGCTCACAAGCGCTCACTCTTAACAGACACACTGCCCCCGGCGCTACTTGCGCGTCATAGAACGTTCATAAAGCGCTCCCCGTTCATAGTAACCGGGTCGTCTCACTCTCATTCATAACAGCCAGCTGTTGCTGACGAGCCGCCGCTATGAGACCAGGCTGCGAAAGTTACGTGCACGCCCCAGCGCGCTCACACTAGCTAATAAACGCCTCACCAGCTCCGGCGCCGCGCACTACATTCCCTTTAGCACATCTAGTTGATGCATAACGCAAAGTCGCAAACCCAGTCAAACGTGTGACTGCAGTATCTTATGCGCCTCATAATCCGGTGCTAGCCTGGTTCTACCAGACTCTCGTACATACATTTCATTTGTACAGAGAGTCTGGCATCTCTCAATAGAGAATCGTTTACTTCCTTGTAGGCGGGTTCTCTGTTAAAGTTCAAAATTATTGGATCTGCCCAAAGTCACTCAGGATCTGCCATAGCCAATCGCTAACGTCTGGTCGTGACGTATGTTATGCGCCGAAACCGGCCGGAAATCACAAGTCAGACTCGGAATGATCAGAGGATAATGTTTAGAAAAAGATGTCTGTCAATGAGTGCTGCAGGTTTTGTCACTCTAATTTAAGAGTTCAAGGAACTATTATTCATTCTAAATGTCTATTTGACTCTAAGGACAGGGATGTCTTAATTCAATTGTCGAAGCTGAGTCTAACCATTCAAAATACGCCGCTGCGGTCGTTTCGGATCTGCCGCAAATGTAGTACATTGATCACCAGGCTACTGCGCGATACTGAAACATTTAAACGGTGGAAGAACGAGGAGACGACGGAGACATGCCAGGGGGGAGATGCAAGTTCCTCTGACAAGAGAGATAGGGAGCCCACACCCTCTAAAACTCCAAGGGCCGTGAAAAAGTCCAGAAAATCTACTGAAATGCCATTGAGAAACAGTGTGACCGAGGTAGGGAAACTAAACCCGATGTTGTTTATATGGAAGTCTATGTTATGCTGTTTTGTCTTTTGTGATATTAACTGATATAAGCATATATGTGATTTTTTTTTATAATTATTGAAGTTAGTATATGTCAAAACGTCGTCTAACTAGGAGTCTGCGAACTGCACCCTCAGTAAAAGACAGCTAGCGTTAATTTAAGCAAATGAATGTTGCATTACTATCGTATCTGTCTGTAGTGTCACTATGAGATTGCCTGGTCCTACTATACTCTGTAAGATAGGCTATCCTTTAGACACACGCATGTTTAATGTCTTATTTACGTGTGACTTTGCGTGCCTATGCCCTTGTTTATTATTTTGGTATTAGAGGGGAAAGAGCCTGTAAAGCTAACTGTTGTATAACCCATCCCCCTCCAATTAGCATATCCATAGACCTAATACTATATGTATAATCATAAGTTGAAAGTAAGATTTTCAGATTAAATATTAATGTTTGATTACCCTTTTGTTGTTATTTCAGGTTGTGATCAAATACGAGTTCGAGAAAAAAACACTGACATGCCAATCTGACATAGCTGGCATTGTTGAGAATTTGGCAAAAAGAAATTTTGCTAGAGCTGCCAATCTTATGTCAAAAAATAGTGAGGTGATGAACCATTTACAAGCCAGTGTGTTGGATATAGTGGAGTCTGACTGTGTGACCCTTTGTAACCAACACAACCAATTTATGCTGTGGAGATCAAGTGCTCAAGACCTACAATCATTTTCATTTATGGAGTTACATGCTGACCTGAAGCGGCTGACCCCTTTCCTGTTCAGCATTATTTCTAAAATCACCAAAAACTCTCTCCCACACACTTGTGCTGCAGCCTCAATAGCTTTGAGAGGAAGACAACCCAATTTGTCAGCTCTGTCATATTACATTAATTCAGTTTTATTGTATGGAGGGGCCAAAAAGGCAGTTTTTCAAAGACTTGCAAAAATGGGCATCTCCACAACACATTTAAATGCAGTTGGCAAACAAAAAGAAATGGCCCAGTACTGTAATCTTCCATTGATGTCCTTAAAAGGGGACTTGGAATCATTTCTGAATCAAAAAAGCACAGATGAGCAAGATAAGACAATTCAACGAAGCCTTGAAGAACTGTCCTTATCAGGTGAGTCTATTTAATGTAACCTTTAGTTATTTTTTTCTGTAAAATATGCATTTTTAATTGCTAATATTATAACTAACTTGATTCATTTTTTCAACACAGCAGAGACCGGTGATCAACCAACCAATGAGGGGGAAGCTGTTGATGTCTTCACATTCAGTAGACTGTCAGACCAAGACATGGCAGATTTGGGTGTTACTCCATTGTCTGCCTCAGCACTTACAACGTCATCAGCACCTCAAACCTACTCAATCATATTTGATAACCTTGACTTTTTCATTCAGACACATCATCAGTCTACCAGCCAAACCAATAGGTCAATACACTGGATCAACCACATGTGTGTCATCAACAGAGTTACTTCACTACACCTCGACAAGCTGAAACCAGCTAATTCTTTGATGGAATATGATCTCGGAAATTCACTTCCTGGACCAAACACACAAGCCAGTATGCGTCGGGAATTCGTTGTTTTGGGTAGCCGAATCCTGACAACTTATTTGGATTCATTCAAGACCCTTTCCAGTGTGGTTGTTCACCACATCCTCCACCAGTTCTCCGAAGAAATGGCCCAGCCATCCACTCATGTAGGTTTATTGTCCTTAAATATGAAATAATTTATTTTTGTTATAATTTCACATTAAAAAAAAGTAAAAATTAAAAAAAAAAAATTAACTTCTCACACATAAACAATTATTTTTCATATTACTCTTTGTAGTACCCCCTTGGACTTCTATTCAAGGATGAAACAAAAACTTCAGACTTGGTGGATGTGCTCCAGCACCTTCAAAGGGAGTAAATATGCAAGATTAATAATTTCTTTTGGTGTCCTAGGATAGTTATCTATACATGTATTGGACTTGTCCATTGACGTAAAGCATTAGTGAAAAATATCCTTTTAGTTTGTAACTAGTCAAAATCCATATAAGAGTATTTGATGTTAGTGTTTAAAATTGTTATTCTAATGTAACTTCTTTTTAGGTATGTGCCAAGATGTCCTGATGGCTTTGAGAAGATTTTGGTCGGTGGTGACAGGCTCACGGAGGGCAATTGCCGTAATATCCAGCTGGCGTTTGCTGATGGGGAGACAGAGGAGGACCGCCTGGAAGGCCTCGTTTTCAAATTTGAAGACTGGCATGCGATTAGAAATCTGTTTGAGGTCAGTATACTTTAATAATTGACTATATGCACCCTCATACAGTATTGTGATTTACTAAAAGCAAATTTTAGAATTACTTTTTTTAAAGTCTTATCGAATTAAAAATGTTTTGTTTTATAAGGACTGGTTCATAGTTGAATTATGTTATGCATTACAGATATATCATCAGATCTTCTTTAACGAAGCATCTGCGAAAGACCATGGCACAATACTAGCAAACATGAATCTCTTGAGGTAAAATTTAGCAAAAAAAGAAAAAGAAGTGTCTTCATATTATGGTAATATTTTCAGTCATTACTGTGTATCTTATTCAAAAATTCATTTCTCTCTACATGTTTCCAAAGGACCTCTACCATAAAGATGATCTTTGCCAACCATGAATTTGGCGGCGATGTATGAACTGTGTTCTATTTTCTGGAAAAGGACAGCCACCATGAATTCGGCTGCTTTCCGATGGTCGTTTAAGGGAAAATGGGTTTATTATTCCTAATAATAAAACACGCTGTTAGCAATTTAGGAACCATGAATTTTCTCTTTTGAGGACATGTTTCATTCGCCATATCAATAATTTCTATGTGATTTACAGATGCAGCAATGCGAAAAAAGGACCACATTCTGCATACAACGCATATAAACAGTTTGTGCAAATTGACACAACAGCACTTTTCCTTGCGGCAGCAATGGAACATTTCCATTTGGATGATGTCACAGGTTTGTTTACTGTATTGCGTTAAAAAGAATAAAATTAAGGAGTCAAATTATATTATTTTTTTTTTGTGCAGATATAATTTAATTGTTTGTTTGTTTGTTTTTTTGGCACAGCCACCCCTGAAGGGATAATACCAGACCACATCCATCAAGGCTACATCCATTACTGAAGCGGCTAGAGCACAACACGCTGAGAAGGAGATGCTCAATTGTCGTGAGCCTGGTTGCACCAAAGTGTTCATTTATAAAAAAGCCAGAGAGACCCACGAGAAGAAAGTCCACAGTCTTGTGGTGGCTTCTACGCCAGTTGTTGACCCTGCGTCTTTTTGTTTGAGGGACTACAAAAAAGAGCATACTGAGGCTAGGCTTAGCTTTGGATTTCTGCTTTTTGATATGTTGGATGCAGTGAAAGAGGGAGATGGGGAGCGCATGTTGAGGCTGTACAAGGTGGCACTACTGATTTACAAGGCTTACGGGCACACTCAATATGCATACAGCACTTTTCTTCTAACAGTACAAGTCAATGCAACACTGTCCCCTCGGGTTGCACATGATCTAACCTGGAACCGATTTTGGAACAACAGCGGTGGTAAAGGAAAAAATATACCACTTGATCTGCACCTCGAGCACCTCAACAACTTTCTTAAATCTTTTTTGAGGAACAAAGGCACTAACCTTACAGAGCAAACAGCTGATAGGGTCAGCAGATCTGCTGGTGTATTAAAAAACCTAATGGACACAGCAGACAGAGAGCTCCAGCTAACCCAGCCAAGTGGCATCCACCATGCAGCTGATCTCAAAAGCAACATTCTAACTGTACTAGAAGTATTGAAGAAGACCAAAGTTTTCAAACACCAACCGGGAAAACATTTCTCTGCATTCCCTAACTTTAACAGAAACATTCTGTCCAAACTCAATTACAAGGACTTATGGCAATGGATGCGTGCCAGGCTGAAAGACTGGAGGTCTGTGCCACTTTAAACAGTTACTTGAGTGGTTTATAATGGTCCAGCTTTGAAGCTGTCATAGAATGTTTATTTTGAAATTTGATGTACGTGTTTAGTTTGTGTTGGGTACAGACAGGGAGTAAATATGTAAATAACATCTATACATTAAGTCTCCCTATTTATATTGACGTTGTTTAATTGTAGTGTAAATACTTTAAATTCAATATTATTTTTTTTTTGGCAGATGTTAAATAAACAACATATTTTTTAAATTATGTCTTGCTTCTTAATTACTGTAGTTAATTGTGTATTTCAAAATAGTAAAATTTTACTTATCACATTGACCTTTTTTTGGAATAGTAAGACATGAGACATTAAAAAACCCTAAAATGATGGACTTCAAAGTATGAATTTCAAGATTTTTATTTTTTAAATTTATCTACAAAAACTTAATACAAAAGATAATTATTAAAACATGTTACACCAACACAACCATGATCTTTCTCATCACAAGAATCAAATTTACTGTTCAGAATCCGAGCTACTGACATGACTCCTGTGTACATCTTCAACAACAGCATCATCATCAAAGTAGTTACTGAAATAAAGGTCTGGATCAGTTAAGTATCTCCCTGAATCACCTTGCAGATCCACATATCACCAAAAACATCATTAATGATAATTAAAATCTCTCTTGCATGGTCTAATCTAAACACGGGAAGGTTAGCAGTAATGTATGTCAGATCAAATATGTGTTGACAATGGTCCAAAACTGCATCCACCAGTTGTTGACTGAATCCAGTGCATGCTTCATGTGAGGTGTACAGTCAATTAGAGGAATTAATTAAACTACCACTGTATTCCTTGAGCAATTCTTCAATCAAAGATTTTTCTTTTGCATCTACATGCCTACATCTCGGAATGATTGGTTCATCTTCAGTCAGTTCATAATTAGGAGTTGGTTCTGTACATGTTCCAGACAAACAAGAGCAAACATTCTGACAGTTTGTACAACAGAGATGGCGCGGCTCAACATGGCTGGGTTCTGCTTCAAAATGTGCATAGAGACATTTCCTAAAACATGTGTCTTTTCCAAGACTAAGCAGTTGTTTTACCTCTTCATCCACCTTGAAATACTGTCCGGTGTTGTAGAGGATGGCATGTGATAGCTGGCCATTTCTTCCAGCCCTTCCAACCTGTTGTATAATTGCCTCAAGGTCCCCTGGAGCCATACATCACCACATGTGAAACATTAGGAAAATTCAAACCCATCCCCAAAGCTGTAGTTGCAACAACTACCCGGCACTTCCCTTCTCCCCTCAGTGAAGCCAACACTCTCTCCTTGTTTTGGGGTAGTGTTTTGCTGTGGAACATGCCAATGAGGAGGTTTTCACTTCCACAGGATGGATCACAGTCTTCCCAGGCATGTTCTTGCAGTTCAGCCTTTAAGTATGAGAATACTCTTCCCACTGATTTAAGTGTTTGACAGTAAATTAATAAAGGTTGCATGTTTGAGCCATTGTTTTTTTACATGTTTAACTATCCAGTCTATGCAGTTCAAGTTATGGCTGGGCACCTTACACAATCCAAGACGGATGTTTTTCTTGTTAGGACTAGCAATGATTTGTACGGCATTGTCCATATGGAGTAATCGGATGACTCTGTTTCTGGACTTGATGTCAGCAGAGGCAGTCAGAGCCAAAACAGGTGTACCTGGGATAATGTAAAAAGATACTAGATAAACCCACTTGGTCAATTGTATAAGGTAACAAATAATGTTTATAGTGTTTGTGTTAAAGGCTATTGCAGGGAAGACTTAATGAACATTAATTCGTACAGTAATGCAATAAATCAATGTAATCACTCAGTCCTGTTTCATCACTGGGAAATCAAATAATGCTTGAAATGAGATATTATACATACACTGAATATTAACGTTATAATAGCCTACAAAAGATATATTTCAACAATAACATAGGTAGAAGCAAAACATAATAGAGTGCATTTAACTCACCCTCCTTGATGACAGATCTCAGCTCTCCGAGCTTGGCAAAACTTTCTCTAAATGCCGATTCGCCTTTGGAAGCCTCGCCCCTGAGGTTAACGTAATAGAGAGTACAATATTTATCATGAATCTTGTATCATATTCAAGAAATACAAACAACAACATTAGCTAAACTATCGATTAAGCAAAAACAGCCCTTAAGTTTTTTAAACATATTAAGTGTTAACTTACCATTTGTATGTAACGTGAACCTCATCCATAACGAGGCCAACGAGGTTGTCCTGGTATATTGTCGAGGCTAGCATTTGACGCCATTTGTTGTTTAGCAGCCAGGACTCGGGGCTTCCGAAAACCAGGCTAAAGCGTCCGTCCAAAATGTCACGCTCATCGTGCACGCCTAGCTGCGCAGCACGAAGTCCTAATTTTTCAGATTCCTTAACTTGGTCTTCCATTAGTGCAAGGAGAGGGGATACGATAACAACTATCGGCTTTGCATCCCTTGGTCCTACAAAAAAATGGTTTCTGGAAACCTAAGGATATGGAGCAGTACCAGACGCAGTACTTAAGGAAAATGAAATTGAGCGGAAGTGCGTAGGCGGGCGCAGCCAGGCTAATCCGGTGCACCCTATATATGAAAAATGTTCTAAAATAGGTCATTCATTGAAGGTGCGCCTTAAAGTGCGGAAAATAGGGCAAATAACATGGAAGTCAATACGTTTTGTTTTGGATCACGAGTAGTAAAGTTATTTTGCAACAGATTGACCTCTGAATGTATCTCACAAAATGCACTTAATATTTTTGTTTACTGTTTTATATTGCTGCTGAAGTGCCTGCCCCTGGTTTAGCTACAGGAAGAAAATTTTTACTTGATATTAATTTATTTTTTCTTGTAAAACAAATGTGCCTGGCCTTTATAAAAATGATAGAGTTTCTCTATTTATATATTTAAAGTCTATACTGACCAAGCACTCTGCCTAATTGGTTTTAGACAGGGCATTTTTTATTTACTTTTAGTATGAATCGGCCTATAAGCAGCAAAGTTCAATAAAATATGCATTTTTCATTGAAGTACCCCCTTCTTTCTTGTGTTTACTATCATTTTCCACAGAATTAAAGCAATTCATGCTAAATTTTAGAAAAATGTAATAATTATCCGATTAGTCGACTAATCGTTTCAATAGTCGGTGACTAGTCGACTATTAAAATAGTCGTTAGTTGCAGCCCTAGCCTTAACAGCATCATAATCAAAAGGGGGGAGACGCCTGTAACGTTGCCTAACTGGTTGGTCGTCTAGCAGAGGAATATCATGAGAGATAAGGTTAGTACAACCAAGGTGCCCCTCAAAAGCTGAAAACACTGACTCATGTTTTAACAAGAATGCCCTTATCTGTTCTTGCTCAGCCTCCACTAGCCCTGATAAATCCAGGGCCTGATCTGCTCCCTCACTGACTTAGGCCTGACTTCCCCATTGGGAACCTGCATGCCAGCCACAACAGCCTCCGTCTCTGGTTGGTCTTCAGAAATGCCCACAGGAAGGCCCTCAATGGTAGCGTGAACAAGCAACCCTAGCGACTGGCGGGAGTATATTGTAGCACGTGTAAACCCTACATTAACTACCGGGATAAAGGCTGTACCTTGTTCTACTTGCACTAGCGCAGGCAAAACTAGGAGCCCACTTGGTAAAGAGCCGCTAGCCGATTCCAAAAGGACAGCAGGAGCATCACAAAATTGAGGGGAGCAGGTGGCTGCCACCAATTTTACAGTGCCCCCTGGTATATGGATGGGTCTTCTACCTCTAACTTTGGCTACACCCGTTTTGGGTGGGCGAGAGT